AGCAATAATAACAACAATACAAGCAATTAAAAAACATAGACAATAAAATACACAACATTATCAATAAAACAAAACAGTGGGAAGGCCAAATGTAGAGTTAAAATTGGAAATAATGCTGGGACATGAACAAAAGGTGATACTGTTGTTTGTGGAAGGGCATACGAGTAGACTTAAGGAAATGTAAAGTGCTTTGGAGGACAAAGTGCTATGGGATCATTATTCCGGGAAGGCACACTGGAACAGCCACGTCTTCAAGCTCCTCCTGAAGACTGCCAGAGTTGGAGCCTGTCTGATGTCTTTAGGGAGTGAGTTCCAGAGTCGAGGGGCCACCACCGAAAAGGCCCTCTCTCTCGTCCCCATCAATCTCCAGCTGTAACACATCTGAGAAGCCTGCATTATCTGATGAACAGCAGGAATGAAGAAAAAGGCCCTGAAATGGTAGCATTTCAAGATAGGACAGAAAGAATGCCCAAAGAGCAAAAAACAGCCCTTCAGACACAGGACTACAACCCCCATTAGCCCTAGCTACTGCAAATGATTGCTGGAAGTTGCAGTTTGACTTCTAGGAGGCTGCATTTTACACATACACCCACAAGAAAGGATTTGAACTTCTGTTATGTAAAAAACAGTTGTTTCCCAGTTGGTTAGGGCCAGGATTCACTGCCCAATGGGATCCTTCCATATCTTTAGTATCATGGAGATATTAATACATCTTGCCAAGCTAAAGTAGCACATTGGTGCTAATAGTCGTCTTAACCAGAATTATTTTGACCCTTGAAGCATAAAAAAGCCCACATACCACACTTTCCACCCCATAATATTCCAGTTTCCCTGTAGCACAGAAGATGAGAAAAGGCAGACTTAGAACAAAAGGAAGGGGCGCTTGCTTATAGCAGACAACCATACACTGAGATCCAGAGTGTAACCCAGAAAGGCTCTGAGGCTTATTTGCTGTGGTCTCAGAGCATTTCCCCCCACAAAAGGCAATAGGAAGTACCCCAATTCAAGGTTTAAATCATGCCCTATTTTCTCTCCCCCATCGCACTTTAGGGTCAGAGGAAGAGGCGTTTCTCTTCCCACCAAGACAGGAACAGAGCAGGAGCCCCTTCACTGTGCCAGCGAGGGCCACTGGAAGCCACCGAATGAAGCACGCCGGCACCCAAACCGAGTCCACCAGCCCTGAGACCGGGAGGAGAGAGGAGTCACCCACAGCAGCAAATAACCACAGCAGGAGTCAACACCAGCTAATGGAAAAGTTGAAGGAGTTGGAAAGGGTGAGAATGTCTATACACTTCACAATAGGAGGGTTGGGTTGCTGTGAGTTTTCCAACTGTATGACTATGTTCCAGAAGCATTCCCTCCTGATGTTTCACCCACATCTATGGCAAGCATCCTCAGAGGCTGTGGGGGTATATTGGAAACTAGACAAGAGAGGTTTATATATCTGTGGAAGGTCCACTGTGGGAGAAACTCTTGTCCATTGGAGGCAAGTGTGAATGTTGCAATTAATCACATTGATTATCATTGAATGGCCTTGCAGCTTCATAGCCTGGCTGATTCCTGTCTGGGGGAATTTTTTGTTTGCAGAAAGCATCACCTCAACCTCTTTAAACTTACTTGCCAAACAATGCACAGTACTCACATCAACATAATCACCATAAACAGCTTGCATTCTCTGATGAATCTCCTTTGGGGTGACACCTTCTGCTGTCAAGAATTCAATGACTACATGTTGCTTAAGTCACATTGACCAACTGTCTACACAAGGTTCCGTACTTCGCACTTTAACAACATAACTGTTCAGTGCTAAGGCTTCCCGCCAAATTGGAACTGTAGAGGAGAGTCTACTGAACAAGCCAGTACCTGCTGCACACCAGTACTGCCATCTGTTAAGGAGTTACGAAGGTGGAGGCATTACTTTTCATTCAACCCTTGTAGCAAAATAATACAATCGCACTATTTACAAGAACAAGCTTTCCATAACACAAATAATATTCTTTATACTTCCTTCTTTGCTTCCACACTGGGCTTCTTTCTCATGCAGATAAACAGCTTCGCTCTCATAGAGCCTCCTCTCACATACAGTAGCCTTCACACTGCAGCTTCACACATGATGGCCTTCAACCCCTCAACGAAGCATCACACAACAGGCTTTCCTCAAACTGAGGTCTACTAACACTAAAGCCTTCTCATACTGAGGTGTCTCACAGACTGAGGCCTCCCTCACACTGATGCGAACTAACACTGAGGCCTTCTCACACTGAGGCCTATAACATACTGAGGCCCTTCTCCCACAGAGCCTCCTCTCACACCAAAGTTACACAGGAGCTTAACACAGGAGCTTTATACACACAGCAGCCTTCACACTGCAGCTTCACACATGATGACCTTCAACCTCTCACCAAAGCTTCTCACAACAGGCTTTCCTCAAACTGAGGTCTACTAACACTGAGGCCTTCTCATACTGAGGTGTCTCACAGACTGAGGCCTCCCTCACACTGAGGCAAACTAACACTGAGGCCTTCTCACACTGAGGCCTCTCAAAGATTGAGACAAACTAACACTGAGGCCTTCTCACACTGAGGCCTATAACATACTGAGGCCCTTCTCCCACAGAGCCTCCTCTCACACCAAAGTTACACAGTAGCTTAACACGGGAGCTTTATACACACAGCAGCCTTCACACTGAAACTTCACACACGATGGCCTTCAACCTCTCACCGAAGCTTCTCACAACAGGCTGTCCTCAAACTGAGGTCTACTAACACTGAGGCCTTCTCGTACTGAGGTGTCTCACGGACTGAGGCCTCCCTCACACTGAGGCAAACTAACACTGAGGCCTTCTCACACTGAGGGCTCTCAAAGATTGAGGCAAACTAACACTGAGGCCTTCTCATACTGAGGCCGACTAACACACTGAGGCCTTTCTCCCACAGAGGCCTCTCACAGACTGAGGGCAACTAAGCTACAGGCACACCTGCTTATATTGAACTGCAGCTTTTGCTGAATCACTGCTTCCAATTAACCCTTTCAGTGCTAGACTCACATCTTTGCAATTAAAAATACCTAGTTAATTTTTAATATTTCTGGCATGTCTTGCAGGAAAGGGACAAACTCATCCTGGCAAACCAGCAGCTCCAAAATTGCAACTCACAGCTGGAAGCAGAGAACAGCCGGTTGCTGAAAGAAGGCGCAACCAGCCTTCCCTCCCTCGCTTGTTGGAAGGCCTGGGCAGCCTGCAACTACAGTCCTCCCAAGCCAAACTGAACAAGAGGAGAGACAATGTGAAAGGTTAAACCCCTGTGCCGGCAGGACTGAAGACCGACAGGTTGCTGGTTCAAATCCGGGGAGAGGCGGATGAGCTCCCTCTACCAGCTCCAGCTCCTCATACGGGGACATGAGGGAAGCCTCCCACAAGGATGATAAAAACATCAAATCATCCAGGCGTCCCCTGGGCAACGTCCTTGCAGATGACCAATTCTCTCACACCAGAAGCGACTTGCAGTTTCTCAAGTCTCTCCTGACATGACAAAAAAAAATCTTATTTAAAAGCATGCAAAAAAAATGGGGTGGGAATGAGGTTGGGGGCCCCCAGAACGGACTAATAGCATTTCCGCATTTTGCTTTGAGATAAGAGCATTTTTGTTAAGAGCTGTCACATTAAACTCTTGTGTGTGTCTATGTTTATCTATGTAATTTAGTAATTTATTGTATTTTTATGTTCATTTGTTTTTGAATTTGTTGTACCCCGCCTCGATCCATCAGGAGAGGTGGGTAATAAATAGAAATTATTATTATTATTATTATTTGAAACACATTATTATTATTATTATTATTATTATTATTATTATTATTATTATTATTATTAAGAACATGAAGGAGTCAGTGAAGGTGGGAACAGCCTTGGAAATGTATTTATTTTTAATCTATAAAATGTATAGTATAGTAGAGTATGGTTGGGAGTCAGCTGCATTAAAATCACTACTGACCAACAGGTCATGAGTTCGAAGCCAGCTGAGGTCGGAGGAAGCTTCCGACCATTTGTCTAGCTTGCTGTCAACCTTTGTTGCCTGAAAGACAGTTGCAACTGGGCACCACAATTCAAGAGAGATATTGACAAGCTGGAATGTGTCCAGAGGAGGGCGACTAAAATGATCAAGGGTCTGGAGAACAAGCCCTATGAGGAGCGGCTTAAGGAGCTGGGCATGTTTAGCCTGAAGAAGAGAAGGCTGAGAGGAGATATGATAGCCATGTATAAATATGTGAGAGGAAGCCACAGGGAGGAGGGAGCAAGCTTGTTTTCTGCTTCCTTGGAGACTAGGACACGGAACAATGGCGTCAAACTACAAGAGAGGAGATTCCATCTGAACATGAGGAAGAACTTCCTGACTGTGAGAGCCATTCAGCAGTGGCACTCTCTGCCCCAGAGTGTGGTGGAGGCTCCTTCTTTGGAAGCTTTTAAACAGAGGCTGGATGGCCATCTGTCAGGGTGATTTGAATGCAATATTCCTGCTTCTTGGCAGGGGGTTGGACTGGATGGCCCATGAGGTCTCTTCCAACTCTATGATTCTATGATGATATGTTATTGTTGTTGTTTTCAACCATTCCCACTTTGGCATCACTTCCCCGACTGTGTTTGCACATGAGCACTCTGAACTCCACCAATGATGAAACTGGACCAAACTTGGCACACAGAACCCCCCATGACCAGCAAAAAATACTGGAGGTCTTTGGGGGAAATTCACCTTGATTTGGGGGAGTTGTAGTTCACCTACATCCAAAGAGAACTGTGAATCCAAACACCGATGGATCTGGACCTTACTTAGGCGATCCCTCGTTGTCCGAGTAGGATAATCCTCCAGAGTGGGTCTGTAGGTGGCTGTGGAGCCCTATTCTTGCTCTGCATCTTCTCCCGCAGTGAGGGCATTGGTTTCCAGGTGGAAGGCGGTCTCGGTCAGGGTTGCCTTGATGTGCCTTCCTCCTGGCACGTTTCTCTCTTTCGCCCTCATTCGTGCCTCTTCAAATTCTGCAGTACTGCTGGTCACAGCTGACCTCCAGCTGGAGCGGTCAAGGACCAGGGCTTCCCAGTTCTCAGTGTCTATGCCAGAGTTTTTAAGGTTGGCTTTGAGCCCATCTTTCAATCTCTTTTCCTGCCCACCAACATTTTGTTTTCCATTCTTGAGTTCAGAGTAGAGTGGACCAAACTTGGCACACATACCTGATATGCCAAAATTTGAGGGGTTTGGAGAGAACTGACCTTCTTTTCTGGGAGTTATAGTTCACCCACAAGCAGAGAAACTGTGACTTTCACCGATGATGGATGTGGACCATTTTGGCACGCAGAATCCCCTTAACTAACACAACCTACTGGAGGGGCTTGAGGGGACTGACTCACCATAATGGGACTTGAAGTTTACCCTATAGCCAGAGAGCACACTGAACCCCACAGATGATGCATCTAGAGCAAACTTGCCCAACATAAACAAACTTTTGTTTGTACTGATTGAGTTTTTCGGGGCTAACCTGGCATGATGTGAATTGTAGTCCACCCAAAACCTTATGCATTTGACAACCCAGACAACGCCGGGTACCCAAGCTAGTGTAAATCATAAAAACAAATATAGCCAGTGTCCTATGAAACATAAGACAATCTGAATTCTTTTATTAAATACTGCCTCCACCAACTTGAAAAAGAAAAGTCTACCCAACATTGAAACCCATTAAGCAAAAGTCCAAAACCTTTGATTACAACTTCCTACATGCTTGTACATGTGTGGTATTAATTTTACTCTGAACAGGAATAATTGTACTCCATCCAATGGCTTTCTGTCCCTTTGAGTGCAACTTGTTATTATTTTTAAACAGACACAAATATTTAGGATCTTGGGTTGTTGTAGGTTTTTTTGGGCTATATGGCCATGTTCTAGAGGCATTCTCTCCTGACGTTTTGCCTGCATCTATGGCAAGCATCCTCAGAGGTTGTGAGTTCTCACAACCTCTGAGGATGCTTGCCATAGATGCAGGCGAAACATCAGGAGAGAATGCCTCTAGAACATGGTCATATAGTCCGAAAAAACCTACAACAACCCAGTGATTTCGGCCATGAAAGCCTTCGACAATACATTTAGGATCTTCCCTCGTTTTGAAAGCAATTTGACAAATACAATCCATATAGTACCAAACTATTCTGCTCGTAAGACAAACGTCTGGGTCTGACAGCTGAAAGGCAAGCTAAAAGAAGGGGAGACTTATGCCCATCAAAGCCACAGGGCTGCCCTCTTAGTTGCGAGACTACAACAATATCAAACTGATTTCAAAGTGGTATTGCCTCCACTGTGAGGAGAGGTGACACAGGATCACCTCGGGGAAGCCTATATAACTGCATTCCTATTCAATGAGAACCGAGGGGAACCCAGAATCGGCTGCTCCCCTTTGTAGAGGTAACTTATCAAAGCCTCCAAACTGTGCTGGAAAAGGCTATTGTTTTCTTGTCATTTTTTCTTTTTCTTGCTCCGTTTGCCCCAACGCTGGTGACCTCCTCCTCCTCCTCCCCCCTCTCGCCGCTTTTCCCAAATGGGCATCGGGGGCTCGATCTCGCCCGGGCGCCCACCACGGTCCGGCACATCACCAATCATCAGCACCTGCCGGGAGGAAAGACAGAGTTTAGGAACTGACCACCGCAGGACAAAAAGGAGTTAAAGCAGGCATGGGCAAACTTACAGGTGCGTTTCGTGGGGACGAGGGACAGGGCCTTCTCTGTGGTAGCCCCCCGACTCTGGAACTCTCTCCCCAAGGACATCAGATAAGCCCCAATGTTGGCTGTCTTTAGGAAGAGCCTGAAGACCTGGCTGTTCCAGTGTGCCTTTCCAGAATAGGAAACTCCTGGTTTCAAGTCCCAAATGCATCTTGCATTTGCATTCTTCTTCAGGAATATCTGCGCATTGCACCCACCCCAAATACCTCTACATATTACCTGTCACGACAGCACTTTTTAAATTTTGTCCATTACATTTGGCCCGGCCTTTGGTTTTAATTGCGTCACAGTGTCATTGTTTTATTGTTTTGCTTGATGTTTTATTATTTGCTTATGAGTTTATTGTGTATTGTATGTTGTTGTTGTCGGCGGCCTTGGCCTTTGTAAGTCACATCGAGTCCTTCGGGAGATTTTGCGGGGTATAAATAAAGTGAATAATAATAATAATAATAATAATAATAATAATAATAACTTGGGCCCTCCATGTGTTTTGGGCTTCAACTCCCACCATTCCTAACCACCTCAGGCCCTTTCCTTTCCTTCCTCAGCCATATAAACCCCATTTTCCTAGTTTCCAACAGACCTCACAACCTCTGAGGATGCCTGCCATAGATGTAGGCGAAACGTCAGGAGGGAATATGCCATCAGCTGGACACCCCTCTCCCCAGCAACAACTGTCACTCTGGGCAAGAGCAAAGGGAGAAGGGTAAGGGGACAGTTCCACCTTGTCTCCTGTGCTATTCTAATAATATAATATAATATATTGTATATGCATATAATACTTAGAATATTACAATGTAATGCAATATAATAATAATAACAATATGATATTATAATTATATATTTACACTAGCTGTCCCCTGCCATGCATTGCTGTGGCCCAGTCTGTGTATACATGTTTTGTGTGTGTATATATGTGTGTACGTGTGTGTATATATCTGTGTATATATGTGTGTTTGCATGTATGTGTGTATTTGTGTGTTTATATGTGTACATGCATATTGTGTATATGTGTGCATATATGTGTGTTTGCTTATATGTGTGTGTGTATGTATATATGTATGTGCGTGTATTTGTGTGTTTATGTGTACATGCATATTGTGTATATGTGTGTATATATTTGTGTATATATGTGTGTGTATATATATGTGTGTGCATATGTGTGTGTGTATTTGTGTGTTCATATGTGTACATGCATATTGTGTATATGTGTGTATATATTTGTGTATATATGTGTGTATATTTGTGTATTTGTGTGTTTATATGTGTACATGCATATTGTGTATATGTGTGTGCTTGTCAATATGCATATTTGTGTGTATATATGTATGTATGTGGATATGTATATGTGTGTGCATGTATATATGTATGTGTTTGTATGTGTGTATATGTGTGTGTTTCTGCATATATATACGTGTGTGTGTTTGAATGTGTGCATGTGCATATGTATATGAGTGTATGTGTGTATGTATATATGGTGTATTTTTGGGGTTTTTAAGTCTGTTCCACTGGGGTTTTGTGTGTGTGTGTGTGTGTGTGTGTGTGTTTTTGGGTGATTGACACTCATTGGGCTGTTAGGTGTCTTGTGTCCAAATTTCGTGTCAATTCGTCCAGTGGTTTTTGAGTTACGTTAATCTCACAACTGAACGTTACATTTTTATTTATATAGATTACATGTAATATTACTAATAATATTACGATATAGTGGTATGGTGCAATATAGCCATGTTTAATGCTGATATCGTACTATGCTAATAATATAATATATTGTATGTAATATATACCTTGTAAGCCACTTTGAGTCCCCTTTGGGGTGAGAAGGGTGGCATATAAATGTCGAAAATAAATAAATAAACACAGCTATACAACCTGAAAAACTTACAACAACCCAATCAGGAGGAAATGCTTCTGGGACATGGCCAGACAGCTTGGAAAACTCACAGCCATGAAAGCCTTCGAGTACACAATACCTTGTTTATTGCACAACTGGTCTTGTCTCGCGAGGCTCCGCTGCTGGTCTTGATGATGCGCGAAAAGTCCTCCCTAGCTGCCAGCAATTGGGCAAGGGTGATCTGGGAGCTGTCCAGCAGAGACTGGCGCAAGGGCTTGAAGACGGCCGTCATGGCTGTTCGATGCTTCTAATGTAGGGACAAAAGAAAGGAAAGAAAGGGCAATGCCAACGAGACAACAAGGGAGCTTTGGGGATGTTGCCAGGGCTGGGCTTTCTCTTCTTACCTCGGCCCTCTCAGACCAATGGAAAGACGCAACAGTGACATCGAGGCGGGTGGCCATCATCTGCTTCCGCTTCTGGTACTCCGCTTGCAGGGCTTTGTGGATGTTTGCCAATGTCTCCTAGAGATTTGATTTGAGGCGGGAGGAGAAAAAGGGCAAAGTGCATCAATCACAAACATACCCATCTATGGGGTCTTGGGGAAAGACAATCCATCCCAAACAAAAGGACACAATGTGTTGTCGAAGGCTTTCGTGGCCAGAATCACTGGGTTGAAGTGAGTTTTCCGGGCTGTGTGGCCATTTTCCGGAAGCATTCTCTTCTGACGTTTTGCCCACATCAATGGCAGGCATCCTCAGAGGTTGTGAGGTCTGTTGGAATCTAGACAAGTAGGGTTTATATATCTGTGGAATGATGTCCTGGGTGGGAGAAAGAACTCTCGTCTGTTGGAGGCAAATGTGAAATATATCTGTGGAATGCCCAGGGTGGGAAAGACAGGGCCTTTTCAGCGGTGGCCCCCCGGCTATGGAATGCCCTCCCTAGAGAGATTAGATCTGCTCCCTCTTAACGTTTCGGAAGCAAGTCAAAGCATGGCTGTTTGAGCAAGTGTTCACAAACACAGAGTAACGGATATGGATAAATGGTATAGGAAATTGATGATTGACGATGGAATCGGACAATGCTTGACAATAAGGAGACGCCAATGATGTTGTTTTTTATTGCTGTTGTGGTTTATGTAATTGTAATGTTTTTAAATTGTATTGTGATACTATATCGCCTTGAGTCGTCGATAGGCTGAGAAAGGCGGTATACAAATACAGTAAATAAATAAATAATAAAGAACTCTTGTCTACTTGAGGCAAGTGTCAATGTTGCAATTAGCCACCTTGGTTTGCATTGAACAGCCTTGCAGCTTCAAAGCCTAGCTGCTTCCTGCCTGAGGGGAATCCTCTGTTGGGAGGTGTTAGCTGGCCCTGATTGTTTCATGTCAGGAACACTCAAACAACAGAGGAATTCCTTTTTAAAAAAATCTCTTTATTGAAAAAATTTCATTTACATAAAAAATGGTTATTAAGGGGGGAAAGAGAGTATCAGGGATAGTGGGGGGTAATGGGAAGGAAACGGGTAGGGATCGGGGATAGTGGGGGGGAGGGAGTAGGGGTTTGGCTTCCCATCTTCTCATTCCTGGGATATATCATCTCTTCTTGTATCTTCTTTTGTACTATATCCTCTTCTTCTTCAGGGTTTTTCGGGCTATTTGCCCTTTTGCAAATCATGTTTATATAGAATCATAGAATCATAGAATCAAAGAGTTGGAAGAGACCTCATGGGCCATCCAGTCCAACCCCCTGCCAAGAAGCAGGAATATTGCATTCAAATCACCCCTGACAGATGGCCATCCAGCCTCTGTTTAAAAGCTTCCAAAGAAGGAGCCTCCACCACACTCCAGGGCAGAGAGTTCCACTGCTGAACGGCTCTCACAGTCAGGAAGTTCTTCCTCATGTTCAGATGGAATCTCCTCTCTTTAGTTTGAAGCCATTGTTCCGCGTCCTAGTCTCCAGGAAGCAGAAAACAAGCTTGCTCCCTCCTCCCTGTGGCTTCCTCTCACATATTTATACATGGCTATCATATCTCCTCTCAGCCTTCTCTTCTTTGGGCTAAACATGCCCAGCTCCTTAAGCCGCTCCTCATAGGGCTTGTTCTCCAGACCCTTGATCATTTTAGTCGCCCTCCTCTGGACACATTCCAGCTTGTCAATATCTCTCTTGAATTGTGGTGCCCAGAATTGGACACAATATTCCAGGTGTGGTCTAACCAAAGCAGAATAGAGGGGTAGCATTACTTCCCTAGATCTAGACACTATGCTCCTATTGATGCAGGCCAAAATCCCACTGGCTTTTTTTTGCCGCCACATCACATTGTTGGCTCATGTTTAACTTGTTGTCCACGAGGACTCCAAGATCTTTTTCACACGTACTGCTCTCAAGCCAGGTGTCCAAATTTCCATTTTCTATTTTTCTATAAACTTCGTTCATAAACTCCAATCTGTTGTTAGTATATTTTGTTTGTGTCTAAGTTTGTTTGTGTCTAAGTTGTCTATATTTCTAATTTCCATTATTTTGACAACAGGGGAATTCCTGACAGGAAAAAAATCAGGGCTAGCTAACAAACACCTCCCAACAAAGGATTCCCCCAGGCAGGAAGCAGCTAGGCTTTGAAGCTGCATGATAACCAAGGTGGCCAATTGCAACATTCACACTTGCCTCAAGCAGACAAGAGTTCTTTCTCCCACCCTGGACATTCCATAGATATATAAACCCTACTTGCCTAGTTTCCAACAGATGTCACAATCTCTGAGGATGCCTGCCATAGATGTCGGGGAAATGTCAGGAGAGAATGCCTGCCATAGTTGTGGGGGAAACGTCAGGAGCTTCTGGTGCTTCTATACAGCCGGAGCTTCTATACAGCCGGAAAACTCCCAGCAACCCAAAAGAACCAAATACCTAACGAGCATCACGGGCAGTAGCGCATCTTACCCATTCTGCGGAGGAAAGCGGGACCTTCAGGAGTGGCGCCATCTGCTGGTGCTCAGCGGGTAGTGTGGAAAGTGCCTCCAAGATCTAAGGAGGAGACCACAAGTTTAGCTGTCCAGGGAAGAGAAAAAGAAACAGGCCATTTGCACTTGCAGGTGGATCCAAAGCAAGGGAAGGCCAGACACAGAGAAGGACGAGGGGAAAACACACTCTTATCCTTCTATCCCAAGCACGGGAAAACTCCGGCCCTTCAGTCCAAAAAATCTGGAGGGCTGAAGTTTGCCCATGCCTGTTCTAGGGCTACACATAGATATATGCGAATCTATATAAATAAAAATGCAATGTTCGTTTGTGAGATTAACATAACTGAAAAACCACTGGACGAATTGACACCAAATTTAGACACAAGACACCTATCCGGCCAACGATCATCATTCATAAAAACACTGAAAAACACAGAAGAGACTTAAAACGTCAAAAAAACAAAAAATACATTACAACGCATATGCAAAACCACATATATACACAAACACACATATCTACACATATACTCAAATATATGCACACACATATATGCATATACACACACACAAAACACATAGACACAGACTGGGCCACAGCAAAGCATGGCAGGGGATAGCTAGTATAGCTAGTATATATATATAAATGTAATGTTAAGTTTTTGGGATTAACATAACTCAAAAACCACCGGACAAATTGACACCAAATTTGGACACAAGACACCTAACAATCCAATGTATGTCCTTCACTCAAAAATTGATTTTGTCATTTGGGAGTTGTAGTTGCTGGGATTTATAGTTCACCTACAATCAAAGAGCATTCTGAACCCCACCAACGATGGAATTGAACCAAACTTGACACACAGTTCTCCTATGACCAACAGAAAATACTGGAAGGGTTTGGTGGGCAGTGTCCTTTGGTTTTGGAGTTGTAGTTCACCTACATCCAGAGATCACTGTGGACTCAAACAATGATGGATCTGGACCAAACTCTACACGAATACTCAATATGCCCAAATGTGAACACTGGTGGAGTTTGGGGAAAACAGAATCTTGACATTTGGGAGTTGTAGTTGCTGGGATTTATAGTTCACCTACAATCACAGAGCCTTCTGAACCCCACCAATGATAGAATTGGGCCAAACCTCCCACACAGAACCCCCATGTGGGCCACAGCAACACGTGGCAGGGGACGGCTAGTCTATATAAATAGAAATGTAATGTTCGTTTTTGGGATTAACGTAACTCAAAAGCCACTGGACGAATTGACACCAAATTTGGACACAAGACACATATCAGGCCAATGAGTGACCATCACTCATAAAAACACTGAAAAACACAGCGGAAGGGACTTAAAAAGCAAAAAAAATAATCCCAAAAATACATTACAATGCATGCATAAAACCACATATATACACAAACATACATATATGCATATACACACACACAAAAACACATATACACAGAAAGGGGGATAGAAGGAAGGAAGGAGAAAAGAGAAGGAGAGAGAGGGGGGAAAGGAAGAGAGAAAGAAGGAAAGAAAGAAAGAAATGTAGAGTAGGAAAGAAGGAGAGAAGGAAATAAAAAAGTGAAAGAAGGAAGGAAAGATAGAGGGGAGGAGAGAAGGAATGAAAGCGAGAAAGAGGGAGGGAAGGAAGAAGAAAAGAGACAAGGAAGGATGGAACTAAAAGCAAAGGAAGCGAGGAAAGAAACAGGAGGGAAAGGAAGGAGAGAAGGAAAGAAAAAAGGGAAGGAAGGAGAGAAAGAAAGGAGGAGAGAAAGAGGGAGGGAAGGTTGGCCACAGCAATGCGTGGCGGGTAAAGCTAGTTGAATATATAACATCCAGAGTGAACAAGCCATTACATCATACTGCTGGACCTACAGCATGACTCACTGTAACTCACTGGCCATTGCTAGATCCTCCAGCACGACTCTATCTCAAGAGAGATATTGACAAGCTGGAATGTGTCCAGAGGTGGGCGACTAAAATGATCAAGGGTCTGGAGAACAAGCCCTATGAGGAGCGGCTTAAGGAGCTGGGCATGTTTAGCCTGAAGAAGAGAAGGCTGAGAGGAGATATGATAGCCATGTATAAATATGTGATAGGAAGTCACAGGGAGGAGGGAGCAAGCTTGTTTTCTGCTTCCCTGGAGACTAGGAGGCGGAACAATGGCTTCAAACTACAAGAGAGGAGATTCCATCTGAACATGAGGAAGAACTTCCTGACTGTGAGAGCCATTCAGCAGTGGAACTCTCTGCCCCGGAGTGTGGTGGAGGCTCCTTCTTTGGGAGCTTTTAAACAGAGGCTGGATGGCCATCTGTCAGGGGTGATTTGAATGCAATATTCCTGCTTCTTGGCAGAATGGGGTTGGACTGGATGGCCCATGAGGTCTCTTCCAACTCTTTGATTCTATGATTCTATAGTCAGGTAAAGGCAAAGGTTTCCCCTGACGTTATGTCCAGTCGTGTCCGACTCTGGGGTGTGGTGCCCATTTCTATTTCTAAGCCGAAGAGCCGGTGTTGTCCCTAGACACCCCCAAGGTCTTGTGGCCGGCATGACTGCATGGAGCACCCTTACCTTCCCGCCAGAGTGGTACCTATCAATCTACTCACATTTGCATGTTTTCGAACTGCTAGGTTGGCAGAAGTTGGGGCTGACAGCGAGAGCTCATGCCACTCCAAGAATTTGAACCTGTAACCTTTTGGTCAACTTCTGGCAAAGCATACCCTAGAATTGCCTGGAACCTCTAGAACAGTTGTAGCAAAGCTATGGCACATCACCTACCCCATGCCCGCCATTCATAATCAGAGGTTCCAACCTTGGACTCTATGTCAGTCATGAGCTGATGGATGGAGCAAGTGGGATCTGGTTCCTCCATTCCCAGGACCTTGCAGATGTGGTGGAGTTCACGCATGGTTTCGCCAGCTCTGTCTTTTTGCTCAGGTGAGAGGGCCGCTTTCCGTGCCTGGAGTCGGGCCGCAAGGAGCTCAGAGCTCAAGAAATCTGGAAATGGGTGGGATTAGGGGACAGGGAAGAGGATAGCTAACATTAACCTTTTATAATAATAATAATAATAATAATAATAATAATAATAATAATAATAATAATAATAACTTTATATGTACCCCTCTACCATCTCTCCAAGGGACTTGGTGCGGCTTACATGAGGCCAAGCCCACAACACATCAATAAACAAAGACGATAACAAATAATCAATACAAAACAGTTAAAATAAAACAAAATAAAATAAAAACTCAAAAACAAAAAATACACAATAAGCAATAACATGTTTATGTTTCCTTTCTTCTGTTTATATCTCATAGTGGACATTTTTTCCCAAATTGATTGGCAGGGCAAGATTAAAATCATTTTAAAAAATCAGTACCCAAAAATGAAGAGCATGCCAGTATCAGTTTATTTAACCCCATCTGTATTTCAGAATAAAATAAAAGCAAACATTAAAATTAAGTTACAGCTCTAAAGAAACACAAACACAGAGGTATAATGGTAATACTACCATTACACCTCTGATTAATAGTTGCCATCCATATCCATGCCCTGCTCACCCCACCAGCTCAATAGATATCTTGAGCAATGATTAATCGATTTGCCCCAAAGAAACGGGAAATTAATGTTTCCATTTGATGTTTTGTCTTATGTCTGTTATAACAGGCGGTGCTTTTTATTTAATTTTAGTTTGTTAAGTTATAATTCACATTTATATGTTGGGTTGTATAAATTTTGTTAGCATGAATGTATTGTTGTTGTATTTGGGCACTGAATGCTTGCCTTTTATGTTTAGAATCTGCCCTGAGTCTCCTCAGGGCGATAGAGCGGAACATAAATAAAGATTATTATTATTATTATTATTATTATTATTATTATTATTATTTGAAACACAACAAGATGAGTCCACAGCTGTGTTATGTAGTATATTGCTTACTGTATTACTGGGCTTGGCCCTATGTAAGCCGCCCCGAGTCTCCTTCGGGAGATGGTGGCAGGGTATAAATAAATTTTATTATTATTATTATTTGAAACACAACAAGATGAGTCCACAGCAGACAAGACCACTCTGCTGGCTGTTGTATTGGATCACACATCGGACACTTCCCAAGTGTCTAGGACTGTGTGATGTATCAGCAAATAATGCGTGCAAATCCCAGTAAGGGGCCTTCTGCAGCTGGCAGGTGGCAATTTTGTCAGTGCCGATTGTGTTTAAGTGCAGGCCAAGGTCTTTAGGCATTGCACCCAGTGTGCCAATTACCACTGGGACCACCTTGACTGGCTTGTGCCAGAGTCTTTGCAGTTCAATCTTTAAATCCTCATATCATGTCAGCTTTTCCAGTTGTTTCTCTTCAATCCTGCTGTCATCTGGGATTGCAACATCGACGGTCCTTACTTTGTTTTTTAACACGATCGTGAGGTCAGGAGTATTGTGCTCCAGAACTGTCTATGTGTCTGAATCCGGAAGTCCCAGAAGGCTTGACGTGTTCATTCTCTGTAACGTTTTCCAGCTTGTTATCCCACTAGTTCTTTGTCGCAGGTAGATAGTATTTGTGGCACAAGTTCCAGTGGATCATCTGAGCAACGGTGTTATGCCTCTGCTTGTAGTCTGTCTGCGCGATCTTCTTGCAGCAGCTGAGAATGGGATCTATTGTTTCATCTGCTTCCTTGCAGAGTCGACATTTGAGATCCGTCATTGACTTTTCAGTTTTGGCTTTGATGATGATAATGATGATTAGTATAATTAAAACATAATTATAATAAATACATAAATATAATAATGATAATAATAATAATTATTATCATTATTATATTTATGTATTTATTATAATTATGTTTTAATTATACTAATCATTATTATTATTATTATTATTATATGTTTTAATTACATGATTTTAAAGTATATGTTCTTTTTATATGTACTTAAGGGATAAAATTGTACCTTTGCTTATTATTATAATTAAAACATAATTATAATAAATAAATAAATAAATAAATAAAATAATGACAATAATTATTGTGATGGCACACCGGGAAGATGAAGAGAAAACTATATGTGTCCGGCTATTTTCCCAGTGACCATCGGTATGCCCTGTATTTACTTTTATTCCCCCAAAATAAAACTCTAGAGACAAGACTAAATTTAACCAATTAGGTTTACTGAACAATCAAGGTGAATCAAAACAAGGTATAAAGGTGCAGTTTGATTCTTGATGGTATAGACAACAGGAGACTATGATATAGACAAACAGTCAGAGTCTATTTAACTTTTCTGGCTACCAGGGGAGTTGTCGCTTTCATCGTCCATCTGCGGCACTGATGAAGTACTTCCACATTCCCCGCATGCTTTGCTGGCGAGTTTTTTATGGCCTCGTAAATTAGTTAAATTATCCTCCCCACACATAGGTGGTACCTAATTCTCCTACTTGACAGATGCAACTGTCTTTCGGGTTGCAAAGGTCGACAACAAGCTACACAATTGGTCGGAAGCTCACTCCGACGTGGGCTGCCTTCGAACTCATGACCTTTTGGTAGGAGGGGTCTTAATGCAGCTGACACTCAGCCAGTTGCGCCACAGTCCTAGTCAGTTCAAATCTTGGGAGTGTCTTAATTCTAATAGCGTCTTGTCTGGACTTACACAGCAGCTGGAGGCAATTCTCTGGAGTGCCGAGTCTGGCTGTGACATCCCCTTTGGTCAGTGAGGGATAAGGGCAGTGGAGCTCGTTCAGGAGACCGCTCACTTCAATCTGGAATGTCTCTGCATCCTCAGGGCCTGAAAGAAACCAACTGCTCATAAACATCATCACATCAGGCTTGGCATTTATTCCCTAACTGGGATCCTCATACATTTAGAACAGTGGTTCTCAACCTTCCTAATGCCACGACCCCTTAATACGCTTCCTCATGTTATGGTGACCCCCAACCATAAAATTAGTTTCGTTGCTACTTCATAACTCATTCTGCTGCTGTTATGAATAGTAACAGATTTGGGGAGGGTGTTGATTTTGTCCTGTGGGAGTTGTAGTTGCTGGGATTTATAGTTCACCTACAATCAAAGAGCATTCTGAACTCCACCAACGATGGAACTGAATCAAACTTGGCACACAGAATTCCCATGACCAACAGAAAATACTGGAAGGGTTTGGTGGGCACTGACCTTGAGTTTTGGGAGTTGTAGTTTACCTACATCCAGAGAGAACTGTAGACTCAAACAATGATGGATCTGGACCAAACTTGGCACGAATTCTCAGTCTGCCCAAATGTAAACACTAGTAGAGTTTGGGGGAATTTATAGTTCACCTACAATCAAAGAGCATTCGAACCCTACCAAGGATTGAATTGGGCCAAACTTCCCACAGAGAACCTCCATGACCAACAGAAAATACTGTGTTTTCTGGTGGTCTTTGGTGACCCCTCAGAAACCCCTTACGACCCCCTCCAGGGGTCCCGACCCCCAGGTTGAGAAACACTGATTTAGAACATCATCACTGAGTTTGAGGAAAGAACAGAAGCTTGTGGGTTACAGAACATGAGAGAACATGCCTGCCTTCTTCGGGTCTTCTATAGTTTTATGATATCCCTGTGAATTTAATACAGTTTCCTTAGGCATTTTTTTTCATGTCAGGAGCAACTTGAGACACTTCTGGTGTGAGAGAATTAGCTGTCTGCTAGAACGTTGCCCAGGGAACACCCGGATGTTTTGATGTTTTACCATCCTTGTGGGAGGCTTCTCTCATGTCCCCGCATGGGGAGCTGGAGCTGACAGAGGGAGCTCATCCATGCTCTCCCCGGATTCAAACCTCCAACTTGTCAGTCTTCAGTTCTGCCGGCACAAGGGTTTAACCCATTATGCCACCGAAGGCTCCTCCTCAGGCAAGGAAGACTAAGTAGTAGTTTTGCTGTCACCTTCCTTTGGAATATAGCTTACAACGTCTGGTATTTCTGGACTGTCTACCATAGAATCCTAGAGTTGGAAGAGACCTCATGGGCCATCCAGTCCAATCCCCTGCCAAGAAGCAGGAGAATTGCATTCAAAGGACTGGAATCACAACTTGGGGATCACAACCAGACACAGTGAAGACATCTGCCCTTGTTCTGTGCTACTCTGCTGCTGAGTATGCATGCCCAGTGTGGAACACATCTCACCACACTAAAACAGTGGATGTGGCTCTTAATGAGACATGCCGCATTATCACGGGGTGTCTGCGCCCTACACCACTGGAGAAATTACACTGCTTAGCCGGTATTGCACCACCTGGCATCCGCCGGGAAGTAGCAGCCAATAGTGAAAGGACCAAGGCAGAGACATCTCCAGCTCATCCCCTGTTTGGGCATCAGCCAGCACGTCAACGACTTAAATCAAGAAATAGTTTTCTAAGATCTACAGAGACACTCGCTGGAACACCTCAGCAAGCGAGAGTCCAAAAGTGGCAGGCTCAAACCCAGAGCCTCAATCAATGGCTGATACCCAATGAGAGACTCCCCCCTGGGCACACAGAAAACTGGGCGACTTGGAAGGCGCTGAACAGACTGCGCTCTGGCACCACGAGATGCAGAGCCAACCTTCAGAAATGGGGCTACAAAGTGGAATCCACAACATGTGAGACCTACAAACTACAGACCACCTGCTGCAATGCAACCTGCTACATGCACAATGGAGGACCTTCTTGCGGCAACACCAGAAGCACTCCAAATGGCCAGATACTGGTCAAAGGACATTTAATCAACTACCAATCTTGCAAACACTGTGTCTTTTGTATTTTTATCTGTTTGTTTGTTCTATCAAAAATGTAATACAACTGTTCGGTTGCCTGACGCGATACATAAATAAATATGAGGATCAGCTTAGGGAGCTGGAGATGTTTAGCTTGGAAAAAGAAGGCTGAGAGATGGGGACACGAGAGCCATGTTTATATACTTGAAAGAAAGGCACAAACTTGTTTTCTGCAGCCCTGAAGACTAGGCCGCAAGTGAGCAATGGGTTCAAATGGAAGGAAAAGGGATTCCACCTAAACATTCGGAATATTTTCTTCCTGGTAAGAGCAGTTCGACAGTGTCTGTCAGCTCCAGCTTCCCGTGTGGAGACATGAGAGAGGCCTCCCACAGGATGGTAACACATCTGGGCAACATCTCTGCAAATGGCCAATTCTCTCATACCAGAAGAGACTTGCAGTTTCCCAAGTCACTTCCGATACAATAAAAAAGTCTGGCTTCCTACCTTGAGTTGGATTCACATCCTCTTCCAGCGGGCAAAAGAGGCGGAGCTCTGAGACCAGCCAAGAGCAGAGTGCCGTGAACTGTGGACTGGAGACACCTCCTTCCGCCACTTGGGCAAAGGCTTCCATGGAGAGGCACCTGGGAACAAAGGGCAAAGAAGGCACACCATTCGATGGAAATGTCATGATAGGCAATCTGCGAGTTGCAAACAAGCTTTCGGGACAGGGCAATAAAGCAGCAAGAGGAAAGATTACCAGGCCAATTAGATTTAATGTAGATGACTAGGACGGTTTTAAATTGTGTATTTTAATATTTTGATAAATGTTTTAGCACTGGGACTATGGTGCAGCTGGCTGGGTGTCAGCTGCATTAAGATCACTACTGGCCGAAAGATCAATGAGTTCAAAGCTAGCCCGGGTCAGAGTGAGCTTCCGGCCAATTTGTGTAGCTTGTTGTCAACCTTTGCAACCCGAAAGACAGTTGCATCTGTCAAGTAGGAAATTTAGGTACCACCTATGTGTGGGGAGGCTAATTTAACAAATTCACAAGGCCATAAAAAATCTCCAGCAAAAGCATGTGGGGAATGCGGAAAGTACTTCATCAGTGTCGCAGATGGATGGTGAAACGACAGCTCTCCTGGTAGCCAGAATACTGGAATATTAAATAGCCTCTGATTGTCTGTCTATATGTGTTGTGTGTCTATGACATTGAATGTTTGCCATGTATGTGTACATTGTAATCCACCCTGAGGCCCCTGCGGGGTGAGAAGGGCGGAATATAAATACTGTAAAGAAATAAATATAAGAATTTGTGTCCCAGCATGGAATGTTTGCCGTATATATGCTGTGCTCCACCCTGAGTCCCTTCGGAGAAGGGTGGAATATAAATGTTTTAAATAAACAAATACAAATGACTCATTGTTAAGAGCAGAGGTGAGACAATAGGAAGTGAGAGAAATCTACCCCTCAGGAGGGAAATCCACTTTAGTGCCTCACATATAGAAACCTAACGATAATAACATACAATTATCGATTAAATCATAAAACCCAACATCATTTAACCTTAAACCATGGAATTAAAAACATCTCAATATAAACATTACAATCACACAATCCTGATCTTGGCCACAATCTGTTATCTGAGATGACATGTTCCTATGATTGTTGTTTTTCATTTAATGATAGTAGTCTAATGGTAAAATGCATTCTACAACCCAAGGATGGCACCCTTGAAGTGACTAGATTGGCCTTGAAGGAGCTGGGGGTGGTGACGGCCGACAGGGAGCTCTGGCGTGGACTGGTCCATGAGGTCACGAAGAGTCAGAAACGACTGAACGAATTAACAACAACACAACCCAAATACATTGTATTGTCACTGAAAAGATGTCTCTACTGAAGCTTTGTCACCAAAGCTTTGTCAAGGGGAAACCTTTACCTTCACCAAACTCTGGTTTTGGACTTCACTTCCCAGAATCCCTGATCCTTGGCCAAGACAGCTAAGGCTTCTGGGAGTTGATGTCTAAAAAAAATCTAGACTTTGGGAATTACTTTAGTAAGAAATACCTGACAACCCTATATATTACTTGATTTATTTGTTTGTTTGTTTACGGCATTTATATGCCGCCCTTCTCAGAGCGGCTTCCAAGACATATTTTCATACAATATATTATATTATTAAAAAGGTAAAAGTTGTCCCCTGACATTAAGTCCAGTCATGTCTGACTCTGAGGTGTGGTGCTCATCTCCATTTCTAAGCCGAAGAGCCGGCGTTGTCCATAGACACCTCCAAGGTCATGTGGCCGGCATGACTGCATGGAGCACTGTTACCTTCCCGCCAGAGTGGTACCTATTGATCTACTCACATTTTCATGTTTTTGAACTGCTAGGTTGGCAGAAGCTAGGGCTGACAGCGGAAGCTCATGCCGCTCTCCAGAATCGAACCTGCAACCTTTCGGTCAACAAGCTCAGCAGCTCAGCGCTTTAACCCACTGTGCCACTGGCGCATAGTACAATATAGTAGTACAATTAGCTAACATAGTACAATTAGCATAGTACAATATCAGTATTATATATTACTATAGTGCACTATACCATTATATTGTAATATTATTAGTAATATTACATGTAATGTAAATATATAATTATAATATTGTATTATTATTACTAGTATTATATTGTATTACATTATAATATTATAAATATTATATGTATATACAATATATTATATTATTATACATTATATTATATATATACTATATTATATTGTATTATATACTATATTATATTATTATACATTATAATATTATAAATATTATATGTATATACAATATACTATATTATATTATTAGTAAAGACATCCCCTTCTGGTATAGGGTCAGGGAGCCCCTAATTCCCCCCCCCCCCATAGTACAATATCATAGCATAGTACAATATCAGTATTATATATTACTATATTGCACTATACCATTATATTGTAATATTATTAGTAATATTACATGTAATGTAAATATATAATTATAATATTGTATTATTATTACTGGTATTATATTGTATTACATTATAATATTATAAATGTTATATGTATATACAATATATTATATTATTATACATTATATTATATATATTATATTGTATTGTATTATATTATTATATATACTATATTATATTATTATACATTATAATATTATAAATATTATATGTCTATACAATATGCTATATTATATTATTATACATTATATATTATATTATATTATTATATATACTATATTATATTATTATACATTATAATATTATAAATATTATATGTATATACAATATACTATATTATATTATTAGTAAAGACATCCCCTTCTGGTATAGGGTCAGGGAGCCCCTAATTCCCCCCCAAAAATAATAATTGCATCACATGCTCCCTTCCTTACCTTTCTCCTCCATTCCCCTCCATGGTCCCTGTGTAACTCAGTCACACTTCCTGGTTTCCAAACGCGCATGCGCCACAGAAAGACCAACTCCTGCAACTCCTTGACTCCCCCCGCCCTCAAAGCGGGAGGGCCTTTTTCATTGGTCCCGCCTTCACCCAATGAGAGGCTTCCCTGGTCGAGTTTCTGCTCCTCACTCACGCATGCGCACTCGAAAAGGTTCTTCACCTCATAGAGCCTCGGGTTGGCTGGATGCTCTCATAGCAACAAGGAACTCGCTGTCATCTTTGGCCGACCAATGAGGAGCGCTCTCTTGTATTACAGTGTAGTTTTTAGCCAATCAAGGCCCACAGTTACCTGTTCTCCATGGCAACCGGAGAGCTTGTTGTCCAATAAGAATTCCGCTCGGATTTCTGCTTGTCAAACAAGCGGGGGCGGCTGCTGTGTAGAAACTTTCTCCTCTCACGCCGGCCTGCTAATCACACGGCACGATTATAGCGCTATTATTCTACCCTAATTGCCATGTATGTTCTTGAAAAGGCCCAGATGGGTTTGTCCCACAAAGGCTCCTCCATGGCTGGATGGATCTGGACCAAACATGGCACACAAACCCTTCAAGTAGGAGGGTTGAATGAAAAGTAATGCCTCCACCTTTGTCACTGTCATGGCTTTTGTGAGAAGCACGTCACGGTGGCCAGAGCCCCCTGTGTGGCCATAGACCACCGGTGAAACACCCCGTTGAGGGTGGCGTGCTTCTCACAAAAGCCATGACAGGTGACAAAGGTGGAGGCATTACTTTTCATTCAACCCTCCTACTTGAAGGGTTTGTCTGCCATGTTTGACCGGGGGTGTTTCCATAATGTCTTGTTTTTCTGGCGGAAGAGTGTTATAGAACTCCAGTATGCTGATGACAGCATCGTCTGTGCGCATTCAGAAGAAGACCTACAAGCCACTCTAAACACCTTCGCAGAAGCATACGAAAAGCTCGGCCTGTCATTGAACATCAAGAAAACCAAAGTCCTCTTCCAGCAGGAGTCCATCCCATCCCTCTCCAATGCCAAAGATACAGCTTAATGGTGTAACATTAGAAAATGTTGGCCATTTCCATTTCCTTGGCAGCCACTTCGCCACCAAAGTCAACATCAACACCGAAATACAACACCGCCTCAGCTCTGCAAGTGCAGCATTATTCCGAATGAAGCACAGAGTGTTTGACGACCGGGACATCCGTAGGGATACCAAGGTGCTTGTCTATAAAGCTATTGTCCTCCCAACCCTGCTCTATGCCTGCGAAACGTGGACTGTCTACAGACGTCACATGTAACTCCTGGAACGATTCCATCAGCGCTGCCTCCGGAAAATCCTGCAAATCTCTTGGGAAGACAAGCGGACAAATGTCAGTGTGCTGGAAGAAGCAAAGACCATCAGCACTGAAGTGAGGGTCATCCGCCATCAATTCTGCTGAACCAGCCATGTTGTCCTGATGCCTGACCACCGTCTCCCAAAGCAGTTGTTCTATTCTGAACTCAAGAATGGGAAACGGAATGTTGGAGGACAAGAAAAGAGATTTAAAGATGGGCTCAAAGCCAACCTTAAAAACTCCGGCATAGATATTGTGAACTGGGAAGCCCTGGCCCTTGAGTGCTCCAGCTGGAGGTCGGTGTGACCAGCAGTGCTGTTGAATTTGACACGAATGGAGGGCGAAAGAGAGAAACGTGCCAAGAGGCAGGTGTGTCAAGCCAACTCCAACCGGGACCTCCTTCCCTCAATGCCCTCACTGCGGGAGACGTTGCAGATCAAGAATAGGGCTCCATAGTCACCTAGGGACCTACCCTGGAGGATTATCCTACTCGGACCATGAGGTATCGCCTAAGTATGTAAGTCTGCTGTCAGGAATTCAATGACTGCACGTTGCTTGAGTCGCATTGACTGACCATCTGCGCAGGGTTCCATACTTTGCACTTTAACAACACAACCGTTCAATGCTAAGGCTTCCTGCCAAAATGGAACTGTAGAGGAACATCTACTGAACAAGCCAGTACCTGCTGCATACCAATACTGCCATCTGTTGACTTACGAAGGTGGAGGCATTACTTTTCATTCAACCCTCGTATATTATTGATTATTGTTTTAGGAATTTTTTTTGAACTTTCGCTGTTTCGAAGCATCAGAGATCGAGAACGGACTGGCAACAACTTCACCCATACCATGACTTGTACAGTGAGAGAGGCCTGTAATTGACATCATAGGTTGACCTCAACTATGAGAGACAACATGAGAAAACACATCCAGAAAATCACATTGTCTGATTTTTATTGAATTTATTTGCAAATTATGGTGGAAAATAAGTTTGTTGTTCATTCGTTCAGTTGCTTCTGACTCTTTGTGACCTCCTGGACCAGCCCATGCCAGTCAGCCGTGGCCTGTCGGCCGTGGCCAGCCCACGCCAGAGCTCCCTGTCGGCCGTCACCACCCCCAGCTCCTTCAGAGTCAAGCCAGTCACTTCAAGGATACCATCCATCCATCTAGCCCTTGGTCGGCCCCTCTTCCTTTTTCCTTCCATTTTCCCCAGCATCATTGTCTTCTCTAAGCTTTCCTTTCTTCTCATGATGTGGCCAAAGTACTTCATCTTGGCCTCTACTATCCTTCCCTCCAATGAGCAGTTGGGCTTTATTTCCTGAAGTATGGAGTGGTTGGATCTTCTCGCAGTCCAAGGCACTCAGAATTTTCCTCCAACACCACAGTTCAAAAGCATCTCTCTTCCTTCGCTCAGCCTTCCTTATGGTCCAGCTCTCACATCCGTAGGTGACTTTGGGGAATACCATGGCTTTGACTATGTGGATCTTCGTTGCCATTGTGATGTCTCTACTCTTTACTATTTTATCGAGATTGGACATTGCTCTCCTCCCAAGAAGTAAGTGTCTTCTGTTTTCCTGGCCACAGTCTGCATCTGCAGTAATCTTTGCACCTAGAAATACAAAGTCTGTCACGGCCTCCACATTTTCTCCCTCTATTTTCCAGTTGTCAATCATTCTTGTTGCCATAATCTTGGTTTTTTTTTTATGTTTAACTGCAACCACAGCTTTTGCACTGTCTTCTTTCACCTTGATTAGAAGGCTTCTCAGCTCTTCCTCGCTTTTGGCCATCAAAGTGGTATCATGTTCATATCTAAGATTGTTAATGTTTTTTCCAGCAATTTTAACCCCAGCCTTGCATTCGTCAAGCCCCGCGCATTGCATGATGTGTTCTGCATACAAGTTGAATAGGTTGGGTGAGAGGATACAACCCTGCCGTACGCCTTTCCCAGTCTTGAACCAGTCTGTTGTTCCGTGGTCAGTTCTTCCTGTTGCTTCTTGGTTCCTTATACAGATTCCTCAGGAGAGAGACAGGGTGGCTTGGTATCCCCGTACCACCAAGAACTTGCCACCATTTATTATGAGTCACACAGCCAAAGGCTTTAGAATAGTCAATAAAACAGAAATAGATGTTTTTCTGAAACTCTCTGTCTTTCTCCATTATCCAGCGGTCTCTCGTTCCTCTGCCTTTTCTAAATAAGTATTTGGAAAATAAGTATTTGGTCCATAACATAAGTTCATCTCAATACTTTGTTATATATCCTTTACTGGCAGTGACAGAGGTCAAACATTTTCTGAAAGTCCTCATAAGGTGTTGGCCCATTCCTCCATGCAGATCTATCTCCTCAAGAGCAGTGATGTTTTGGGGCTGTCGCTGAGCAACATGGACTTTCAACTCCCTTCAAAGATTTTCTATAAGGTTGAGATCTGGAGACTGGCTGGGCCACTCCAGGACCTTGAAGTGCTTCTTACGAAGCCACTCCTTCCTTCGTTGCCCTGGCGATGTGCTTGGGATCATATTCATTCTGAAAGACCCAGCCACGTTTCATCTTCAGTGCCCTTGCTGAGGGAAGGAGGTTTGCACTCAAAATCTCACGAGACATGGCCCCATTCATTCTTTCATGTATACGGATCAGTCACCCTGGTCCCTTTGTAGAGAAACAGCCCCAAAGCATGATGTTGGCAACCCCGTGCTTCACTGTAGGGATGGGGTTCTTTGGATGCAACTCAGCATTCTTTCTCCTCCAAACACAACAAGTTGTGTTTATGCTGAACAGTTCTACTTTATTTATTTATTTACAGCTTTTATATTCCGCCCTTCTTACCCCGCAGGGGACTCAGGGCGGATTACAGTGTACACACATATGGCAAACATTCAATGCCAATTTTCGACATACAAACATATACAGACATACACAGAGGCTTTTTAACTTTTTCTGGCCACCAGGGGAGCTGTCGCTTTCATCATCCATCTGCGACGCTGATGAAGCACTTCCGCATTCCCCGCATGCTTCCCCTCTGGAATGCTTTGCTGGAGTCTTCTTTTTTATGGCCTCATCAGTTAATTTAGCCTCCCCACACTTTAAGGTGGTACCTAATTTTTCTACTTGACAGATGCAACTGTCTCTCGGGTTGCAAAGGTCGACAACAGGCTAAATAAATTGGTTGGAATTTATTTGCTGGCTTCAAATTCATGACCTTTTGGTTAGAGTGATCTTAATGCAGCTGACATTCAGCCAGCTGCACCACAATCCTGGTACTTTGGGTTGTTGTAGGTTTTTCGGGATATATGGCCATGTTCTAGAACAGTGGTTCTCAACCTGGGGTCCCCAGATGTTTTTGGCTTACAACTCCCAGAAATCTCAGCCAGTTGACCAGCTGTTAGGATTTCTGAGAGTTGAAGGCCAAAAACTTCTGTGGACCCCAGGTTGAGAACCACGGATCTATAAGCATTCTCTCCTGACATTTCACCTGCATCTATGGCAGGCATCCTCAGAGGTTGTGAGACCTCACAACCTCTGAGGATGCCTGCCATAGATACAGGCAAAACATCAGGAGAGAATGCTTCCAATACATGGCCATATAGCCCAAAAAACCTAAAACAACCCAGTGGTTCCATGGAAGCCTTCAACAATACAGTTCTACTTTGGTTTCATCTGACTATATGACATTCTCCCAATACTCTTCTAGATCATCCAAATGCTCTCTAGACCTCACTACCTCTGAGGATGCTTGCCATAGATGCAGGCGAAACGTCAGGAGAGAGCGCCTCTAGACCATGGCCATATAGCCCAAAAAAACCTACAACAACCTAGCTCTCTAGCAAACTTCAGTCGACCCCAGACATGAACTGGCTTAAGCAGGGGGACACATCTGGCACTGCAGGATCTGAGTCCCTGGAGGTGCCGTAGTGTGTTACTGATGGTAGTAGCCTTTGTTATGTTGGTCCCAGCTCTCTGCGGGTCATTCACTAGGTTCCCCCGTGTGGTTCTGGGGTTTTTGCTCACTGTTCTTGTGACCATTTTGACCCCCACGGGGTGAGATCTTGCGTGGAGCCCCAGATCGAGGGAGATTCTCAGTGGTCTTGTAACTCTTCCATTTTCTTATTATTGCTCCCACAGTTGATTTCTTCATGCCTATTGCAGATTCAGTTTTCCAAGTCTGGTGCAGGGCTACCATTTTGTTTCTGGTGTCCTTCGACAGCTCTTTGGCCTTCACCATAATGGAGCTTGGAGTGTGACTGCTTGAGGTTGTGGACAGGTGTCTTTTATACTGAGAACAAGCTCAAATAGGTGCCATTACTACAGATAATGAGTAGAGGACAGAGGAGCCTGCTGTGACACCCAGAAATCTTGTTTATTTGTAGGTAACCAAATACTTATTTTCTGCCATAATTTGCAAATAAATTCGTTAACAATCAGACAATGTGATTTACTGGATGTTTTCTCATGTTGTTTCTCATAGTTGAGGTCTATCTATGATGTCAATTACAGGCCTCTCACATCTTTTAAAGTGAGAGAACTTGTACAATTGATATCTGACTATATACTCCCCCGCCCCACTGTATCTGCTTTCTTTGACTTTCTGTATCACTTGTATCTATCTGTTTACTGTATCTCTTTATATTATATAAAATGTATAAACTTCTTTACAAAATGTAACAAGCTGTAGCCCAGAGACAGTTACCTCTCCATAACCCTGCTGAAGTAGTTCCATGAGAAAAAGGTTGGACAAATCCCTCTGGCTGTTTCCCAAGCCAGGTATTCATCCATGTTCATTCTTTATGCAGAGATTATTTCCTGTATCAGCCCAGAATTAGCTTAATGGTTCACTTGAGGCTGAGAGAGTGCTGACTGCAGAAACAGAAGTTCAGAGTACAGTAGAGTCTCGCTTATCCAACAAAAACGGGCTGGCAGAATGTTGGATAAGTAAAAATGTTGGATAATAAGGAGGGATTAAGGAAAATCTGGAAGCAGCAACATCAGTGGAACCCCCTGCCAATCAGGGCACAGATCCAGACTGGTCCTTCCTTTGGCCAATCGGGGGAGAGAGCAGGAGCTTTAAATAGCTGTCAAACTGTATAAAACACCATGCTTCCTCTGTATGCTTATGCTTGTACTCTTTGAAGCTTCCGCTTGTATTTGCAGCCTTTTGGGCCAAATTGAATAAACCTCCATGGCTTGTCTTCAACCTGGTGAGTGTTTCCCTGTCCTGGCCCATTTGATTTAGCTTACACTCGCCAGGCCCAGGCCCTTTTATCCATGGTCATAGTTTATCCACTTCAAAAGGAAGAGATGAGGGAGAAGGTGTGTGGGGGAAAGAGAAAGAAATGAAAGAAGGAAGGGTCGGAAGAGAGAAAAAGAAGGGAAGAGGAAGGAGTCAGGGAAAGTTTATGAGGGAAAGCAAAGGAAGAAGGAAAGAAGGTGAAAGATTAGGAAGGAAGTAAAAGGAGAAGGAAGGAAGAGAAAGGGAATGGGAAAAGGTATTGGGGAGGGAAAGAAAGAAAGGGAGGGGGGAAAGAGAAGATAAATGAATGGAAGAAAGAAAGAAAAGAGGGGGAAGGTGTATGTGGGAAAGCAAGGGAAGAAGGAGAGCAAAGAAAAGAGAGGAAGGTGTATGATGGAAATGGAAAAAAGAAAGAGCCTGCCCTTTGTTGCCAGAATATTGCTATGGAGACACTATCAGGTAGGCTTTGTCAGAGCTGGAGAAGGGAGAAAGCAGGCGGGCAGCACCCCCATTCAACACGCAGGAATAAAAGGAAAAGTAAGACCAAGACAGAAAAAGTACCACCTTTTTACCCCATGAAAACAAGAAACACACAGAATGCCAGGCTCTTTCTACGACTGTGTTTTTTTTGTTTTTAATTTACAACATACATTTTTAAATAATAGAGCATTCTTCTCCAGTCTCATCTCTACCATTCTTTTGTAGAATCTTTTTAAAATACACATAAATTACAATATTGAATATACAAATCTGATAAAATACTTAAAACAGGAAAAAAAATCAGATTGGCAACCACACCAAAGGAAAAAAAATGTTTGCAGTATTCATCTCCTTAGCCCCTGCTGTTTTGGTTTTTGTTAACGACTCCTTTTCTTTTAAATATATAAAACAGAATGAAAACAGTCTTGGGCAACAATATACAACACCCCTTATTAAAACCTTTTCTGATCCCTGTTTCTGTAATCCGTATTCCCGCATGGGCATGCGAAGGCGAAATCCAGAACACCCAAGCTCTAAATGTGGACCAAAGGGATCTGGATTCATGTATGACATTGCCAAAAAACATGAGAAAGAGCTAGGAAAACAGAGAGTCCTACTTTTTCTCCAAGTCTCTTTACCTGTTACCTGGGATGGTAGATTTGGAAGAGAGTTTGAGCTGCAGGAGACAGCTAGATCTAACCCATAGGATAATATCTATGGGATTGAACATATTCTCCCATGTATGTTCTCCTTGGATTGATTTAAGTACTATGAAAGAACATGGGAAGCCCCATATTCTTTAGGACACATCTGCAATGCTACTGTTGAAAAGTTGCCAGTGACTGCTAAATTGTAAATTCCTCAGGGAACAGGCTTATCAATCTCCCAGTTTCTTTGCAAAACCTTGTTTGAAGGATTCTGGGAGATATAGCCCCCCTTTCCACAAATTAGAGGGGTCTGGACTAGATACCCCTTGTGGTCTCTTCCAACTCTATGATTCTTAATTTACAAGCTCTGGTTCAGCCCTTGAGCCCAGGACATTAGGAATTTCTGATCCCAAGGAAATTCGCCCCCGAACAAGACCCGTGCTTTGAGTAAGGCTTGCTTCTAGTGCTTAGAAATACTCCTATAAGTGCACAATTAAGGTATTCACATGTAAATCAAACAGTGACGCTGATTCGTCATAATAAACAGCTGTAGAAATTGAACCACAGTATCCGACGGGGAATGGAAAAAATGACAAGGCAAAAATTGTTTTGAGGCTTCTGTAGATAGTGTGCTTTAAAGAGGAGTGGTTTTTCACAAAGGCATGCCCTCTTCCTTACTGCACTTTTGGCATCTGCAGGCATCCTTTTCATTTCCAATTGTCTCTACCCTGCTCCCTGTCCCTCATTGACTATTCACACAGGAGTCTGAGAAGCAGTGAGAGAGAAATTAAGCCACATGCCATTGATACATACTCCTTAAAATAATCGGTGTCCCTAGGCCTCTCCCAGTGGTGCGACAAAGTGTATTTTGAAGATGCACTATTTCACACCTTGGAAGATTGGTGAGAGTTTGATTTGTTTTCCAGTTACAGTGGTTTGTCAAATGATAAAAATCCCTTTCACCCCAATTATTCAATTGTACTAATGCTTTAAATTCCTACTTATTGGCTCTGTCTCCATTCCTCGACCAATACAGTGGGGCCAGCAGTAACCTACGTTAGAATGACAGGGATGAAATATTGGAACAGTTGTGCCAACCCTCCTTTTCAGAAATAGAAAATTTCTGTTAGGACTGAACTGGCAGAGAGGTTTGGAAATTTAGTCAAAATGATATCCCCCCTGGCATTTTTGTTTTGTATAGCACCCATCTCTTTCTTTAGTGCTGTGAATTACGTTTTCTCTGCCTCATCAGAATGTAAATCTTAACAAAGGTGCACACACACACAAATCTACACACACATACGAAAAAGAAAGAATACAATGAGGGCATTAAAACGTACCCTGTAAACCGAACCCTGTCTGCATAAACAATCATATTAAAAGTGCATTGCTATATCTTGCACCAAACTATGTTTGTCCTAAGTTGTTATTCTGCTTTTAAGAAAATCCACAACACTCCATAGTTCTCTCAATTTGTTATTATGAATAATATGGCATGCCAATGCAGGAGCGCCCTGGGACTGGAGTTCCAATCTCACACACTGGTAAAATTACCCTCCAGCACTGCGAATGACTTATGCCATAATGTAGTCAAGAATTATCCCATACCTGCCCCTGCATTGTTCCATTCTTTTCCAATTCCCTAAAGCTCCAAAGATGCTACAGCAGTGTTTCTCAACCTTCCTAATGCCGCGACCCCTTGATACAGTTCCTCATGTCGTGGCGACCCCCAACCATCAAATTATTTTTGTTGCTACATCATAACTGTAATTTTAGTAGTTATGAATCCTAATGTAAATATCCAATATGCAGGATGTATTTTCATTCACATTTGGCACAAATACCCAATATGCCCAAATTTGAATACTGGTGGGGTTGGGAGAGATTGATTTTGTCATTTGGGAGTTGTAGTTACTGGGATTTATAGTTCACCTACAATCAAAGAGCTTTCTGAACTCCACCAATGATGGACTTGAACCAACCTTGGCACATCGAACTTCTGTTTGCCTAACAGAAAACACTAGAAGAGTTTTGTCATTTGGGAGTTGTGGTTGCTGGGAGTCAAAATGATGGATCTGGACCAAATTTAGCATGAATACTCAATATGCCGAAATGGGAACACTGGCGGAGTTTGGGCAAAATAGAACTTGATATTTGGGAGTTGTCATTGCTAGGATTTACAGTTCACCTACGATCAAAGAGCCCCTTGAATCCCACCAACGATAGAATTGGGCCAAACTTCCCACACAGAACCCCCGTAACCAGGAGAAAATACTGTGTTTTCTGATGGTCTTTGGTGACCCCTCTGACACCTCCTCGCGATCCCCCCCCCCAGGGGTCCCGACCCCAGGTTGAGAAACACTGTGCTACAGAATCAATGTTAAATTCCAAGCAATTTTTAAACCAGTTTGAGTTGTTTTGATTCTTGTATGCATGAGAATGAAAGAAAATACTATGAATATCCTTTTTCTCTTTAAAGGGGTTTGACATTTTAGACTATTACCCAGACAGAATATGCTCCCTCAATCTATATGATCCTGCTTTGGGTTTCCACCATGAAAATGTAAACGTGGAGAAGCTTTCAGTAATAACAGCCACATCCTTTGTGATACATTTCCAGCAGAAAACAACTTTTAGTTCAGAGACTTTCCAAAGACACTTAACCTCAATTCCCATCTTCATTCCAAAGGAAGGGGAACAGCTATCACAGAGGTGGGCAAATTGGGTTCTAGGTGGGCCCATGATTTAAAAAAAAATCCCTAAAAAGTTAAATATTTTGCCCCCAATTATTATTGAGGATTGAGTGTTGAGTGCAAATCATTAACACCTTGCTACAAAACATACTACAGTACAGACATAGCTCAGTCAGCAAAGTCTCTGAAAAAGATCGTGTCTTTTACAAAGCCGTTTTATGTGCCAAGGTTCCCTTTTTCTCCTTGTCCTCTATCTATCTCAACATTTTGTAGCAGCATTGGCATTAGAAAGATTGTGAAGAAACTGGAGAAACACAGGCTTTCGGTACTGGGTGGCATCAGTATGTCTGTAGTAAACAATACAATAAAGGTTGAGGTGGGGTTCTTCTTGTAGCTGTGCATGCCTGCTTACAACAAGCAAGGTGAACAGCAGCTGTCCCCATAATCCAGGTAACAAACAACTGTACAACAGATCTATATGACTTATAGCAAACCTATCAAGGTTTTTCTGAAGCTGAGAGTATTTTGATTTGATCAAGTGGGTTTCCATGGCCAACAATGGAATCTAGCTCTGGTCTCTAGAGTCATAGTTCAGTGATCAAAGCACTAACCGCATTCAGTTCCAGACTATCTAAAAGGCCAAACCTCCCTATATGAACCTTCCAGAGTTTTAAGATCCATAGGGGAGGTTTCCTCTCAATCCTGGTTGGTGAGGACACAAGAGAGCCTTTTCAGTGGCTGCTACCACCCACTTGAATTTCCTTTTGGTTTTCCTTTTGATTTTATTGAGAGTGAGGTTTCTTATTGGAAAGATGCTTCATTATATTTATGTTACGTTGTTTTAATGGGATTTAAAACTGGATTCATATTTTTTACTGGGAAAATTTAATTGATTGATTTAGTAAGTCACTGTATCTGATTGATTTAATTGATTCTTTTAGTAAGCCACTTCAGGAGAATGGTGTCATACACATTAATTAAATAAATAGATAAATGAAAAGGCAACACCTGCTGCAATTCTCTCTTCTACAAAATCATTAAAGGAATAGATGCCCTCTTAAGTTTTCACTCAAGAAATTCCAGAACTTTGCCCGGTGCGGCATCGGAAAGTTTCTGAGATCTTGCTGAGCGAACTTGGGAGCAGTTCCAAGGAAGGCCTTGTGCCAACAAGAGGTAATACCTGGGGTCTATGCAAGTGGTGATCCATCAATCCAAAATCACCTGCTCCAGAATGGAGCTTAGTATCTTTGTTGTGAGGATTTTTAAAACACTATGACCTTCAAGGCATGGGATGGAAGGCAGGAAAAAAAGATGGTGCCCCTACCTCATTAGGCACACATCCCTTTCACTTCTCTCTTGAATTTTAACTTATTTTCTTAAAAACAAGACAGAAAGCAGACAGTACTTGTAACCTGTTATCTCCCATATGGCAACATCCCATTGCCAAGCCTGCTAAAATTGTTCAATTGTGTTTCCTTTCTTGATCATTATTTCTTTTCTTAAACCATTTTGGTGTAAAAATGATACCCGTCCCCCTCCCGACTATTTTTAAAATTGGAAAATGAAAACAGAACAAAACAGGAATTCCACCAGTCTGCCTCAAAACACAGTGCTCTTTTCCCCAACACTGGCATAAGAGGGTTGGAGGGGAAGCGGAAAGAGGATCTGAGAGTGGGGTCGGGGAAGAGTGGGGTCGGACCAGACGCCCCCAGCAAACCTCCGGCTTTGTGGAAAGCTGCCGGCGTATGCCTGCTGCTGCCCTGGCAGCTAAAAATGAGCGCCCCGTATCGGACCCCCTCTGGCTTCACCGCACGGCCTTGTGCTTGCCCCCACAGCAGCCACAGTGCTCTCCACACCAGTGGCAGGCATGGAGGGGCAGGTAGCAGCACATACAAGGAACCACGAGGGAGAGGGTGACCAAGGCCATCCAGCGGATGCAGAAGTGGGGGTGGCCAGTGTCGCAGGAGCAAGGGTCCGAGTACTCCCCTTCCGAGTCCGACATGCAGTGGTACAGCATGCTCTCAGCGCACCACATGCAGGTGAACTGGTAGACGCAGCGGCCAATGGGGTCAGGGGCATCCTGGCATTGCCCGCGCCCATTCTCCTCGTTGTTAAAGACGTCCCGGCAGTACACGCATCGAGAGGGCACGGTGTCCTCATCCAAGCTTGCCGGCCCAAGCGGGGGTGGCTGCTGCTGCTCCTTCAGGGGCTTGTGTTTGGGGGGTGAAGGGGCACCATGGATCCGGCAAGAGGGAGAGGCTTTGGGGTCCTTGAGCCGCCCCTCAGCCCCAGGCGGGAAGCTATACTCCTTCTCCCGCAATGATTTGTCGCTTCCTCCACCCTTCTTGAAGTGGACACATATGTCAATCTTATCAGGGTCCGGCTGGTGCTTCTGGACTACGGCCCGGCGGTAGTCCTCATAGCCTTTGGTCACCCAGAAGTCTCTGCAGGGGGAGATGCTCTCCAATTCCTCTTCGTCTGGGAGGGTCAACTGTTGCAAAGGCTGAGGCTGGACCTGGTGTGTAGGAAAGAAGAGAGCAAAAAATGGCACCATGGTATTCGTGCAGCAGAAGCAGAACTTGAGTTCCAAGAGCCCTCAGGGAATGATTACAGGAAGATTTAAGCTGGTTTAATCATGATCTAAGGATCACCATCATGTAGTGGTTTCAGTGCTGGACTACAGGTTTGAAAAGGTATATCCACATTACACAATAACAATGAATATTAATCAAATTCACCAATACATCAATCTGCAAACATTAAATCTCAGCACACCACATGCAGGTGAACTGGTAGATGCAGCGTCCAATGGGGTCGGGGGCATCTAGTGCAAAATAATACTTCAAAAGCTAATTAATCACTATTATCCCATAGTTTTTAATAGTGTGTTGTCCTAATGTTAATGCTTACGTTATTGTTTTATTGTCTATGTTTGATTTTAATTGCTTGTATTGTTGTATTATTGCTTGTATTGTTGTATTTGGGCTCGGCCTCATGTAAGCCGCACCGAGTCCCATGGGGAGATGGTAGCGGGGTATAAAAAAAGTATTATTATTATTATTATTATTATTATTATTATTATTATCTGCCTTGCTTTCACCGCCAGGTAGCATAACAACCTGAGTGAGAAATCTAAATCCACATTTTTTTCTAGCTCCTTTCAGGCAAGATACTTTGATGCCAATCCACGTTTTTGTATGGATAATCAGGGGAAAAATATTGATGCCAGCCAAAAAGCAGCTTGGATACAGAGATGACGAAGAATATGGATAGTAAAGGAGCTGGTTGCTAGGCAGCCATTCAGTGCTTCCTTCCCAAGATCAAAAATGTCTTACTACAGCACAAAGAAGCTTGACACAGATCCAGGAAGAAAGAAGAAAGCTTTTTTCTTGGCTTATAAAAATCTGGTGGGTAGTAGGGAAACTGACATCACAGCAACGTAGTTACCATTTTTCTTCACTATGGTCTGTTCACAAGAAGTTTCTACTGACCAATACAAAAATGGTCAAGCACTGGGCCTTTGTGCAAGGGAGGCTTATCAATGGGTGCCTTTCAGTTGCTGTATTGCAATTCCCATCAACCCTAACCCATACCATCAATAGTGAAGGACTATGGACTCCCTTCACAGCTTATTCACACACAAAGAGTTTTCTTCTCCATGTTGACAATGGCTTGGATATGGATTATGGATAAGCTGATGGAGCATTCAACCACAGTTTTTTTCGGCTAATAATGGCCACCAAAGTGGTAATTCTTAGTAGATTTTAATTGTATTGTTTTAATGTTTTTAACTATTTATAATAATTGACTGTTTGTTTTTATTATGTACTAGCTGTACCTGCCACACGTTGCTGTGGCCAACCTTCCCTCCCTCTTTCTCTCCTCCCTTCCCTCTTTCCTTCCTTTCCTCTTTTTCTTTCCCTATCTCTCATCTTTCTTCCATCTCTACCTGTTTCTTTTCTCCCTTTCTTTGCCCTTTGGTTATTTCCTTCCTTCCTTCCCTATCTTTCGTTCCTTCTCTCCTTCCTTCCCCCACTTTTTCCTTTCACTTTTTTATTTCCTTCTCTCCTTCCTTGCTTCTCTATCTTTCTTTCTTCTTTCCCTCCCTCTTCTCTCCTTCCTTCCTTCCCTCTTTCCCTCCTTCTCTTGTTACTTCTTGACTGTCCCTTCCATTTAATATTGTATTTATATCTTACATAGAAAGAAGGAAAGGAAGAAGGAAGGAAGGAGGGACAGGAAGGAAGGAAAAGAAAGAAGGAGGGACAGGAAGGGAGGGAGGGAGGAAGGAGAAGGAAGGAAGGAGGGAAAGAAAGGAGGGGGATGAAGAAAGGAGGGAGGGAAGGAAATGAAGGGGAAGGAAATGAAGAAAGGGAAAGAAGGAGGAAAGGGAGGGAGGAAGCAAAAGAGGAAAGGAAAAAGGAAGGAGGGACAGGAAGGAAGGGAAGGAGGGAAAGAAGGAAAGGAAAGAGAAGGAAAGAAGAAAAGGAAAGAAAGAAAAGGGTGGAAAGAAGGGAAGGGAGGGAGAGAAGGAAGGTCCTTCATTCAAGCACTGTGGACCTTCCTCGCCTCCTCATCCTCCCCCTCCCCCTCAGAGCCACATAGTCACAATTTCCATTATCCCAAGTCTGCATAGCGGATAATCAAAAGTGATAGGAGCTATTGTTCAATAATAATAATAATAATAATAATAATAATAATAATAATAATAATATCTGGGGCCTCAAACTGGGCAAAAACTAGAATACCCCTCTGTCTCTACCGATTCTCCATCCATGGTTCTTTGAAGGCTACCCTAAGGCTCATGTGGCCCTCAATAAAAATGATTTTGATACCCCTTCCCTATAGAAAATGAAGCAAATGTATATTACACTGTTCTAGACAGAAGGGCAGGAACCAATCTATATTCAAATGACAAGAAAAAAGATGCCCCTTGAATGGCTCTTTGACACGTACCGGTCCAGCCGACCCTGCTCCCTTTGGCGTGCTGAAGGTGAACTCTTCTGAGACGGATGAGCGGATGTAGCAGCTGGATGAGGACTCACTGGTTACAATAGTGATGGGTTTGGGGAGCATTTCCTTCTGGCTGTTGGAGGAGGATTCACTATCTGTGTGCACCTAGAGAGAAGAGACGGCAAGAGACAGCATTGAGAAAGTACAGTTTACAAAGGCAACAAAAGTTATGTAAAGTTCGAAAACACTTTCGCTTGGGCACTAGATATAGTATCGGACCCAGAGTAACTACCCTAGACTAGGATTGGAAATTTTACCTTTCACTCTTTGCGGAAAATACTGGGAGCTGTAGTCCAAAATACAACTTTTCTAAGCTCTGCCCTAGAGTGTCCCCATTGAAATTTCATTAGGTATTTGACAAAAGCTTCAAACCTATGTTGACAAACATGACTTACAGAAACTTACTTTTTTAATACAGAGAAAAGCGAATTCCATTAGTACTGAATTCCATGGCCAATGCCATTTTTTTCTGCTGCAGATCCTGAATTCAGAAAATAGACTTACTGCCAGAGCTTCTTCTTTTCCTTCGGCTTCATCCTGACAGGAGGAGGAAGTGGAGGAAGGTGAAAGGGAACCTGAGAATAAGACATACAGGAATAATAAGCCAAGACATAGAATTAAACTACCAGGAAAATCACATGTAAAACAGCATGCCTGGTATAAATAATAATAATTCTCACAATTATTACATAGAATTATATAATTATTACTATTAGTATAACATAATCCTTTTTACACATTCATAATCACAGTAATTTTTACAATAAGGGCGGAGAACCTCTTTCACTCCAAAGACCTCATTCAGTTTTGGAGAAATTCCCAAGGGCTGCATTCTGATGGTTAGTAGAACCAAAGGCAAAAGGAGCAAGGCCAAAACTACCGGTATATTTTTGGAGTAAGAGCGACATGCTCTTATGGCACGTAGCTAAAGCATTTTTAGAATAAGGAAATAGCCTAAGTTTCATCACTTCTTCCCAACCACCTCCTAACAAGGTAGGTCACTATTATCAATGCTGCCATGCTTCAACATGTTGTTAACTTTAAATCTGAATGTGAATGTTGGGCAAAAATTACCAAAAATTCTACTGTGCTATTATGCTGTGATGGTGAAATAAATACAGGCAACCAATGCTGGGTTCCTTTAAGCCAGGGGTCCTCAAACTACAGCCCGGAGGCTGAATACGGCCTTCCAAGGTCATTTACTCGGCCCTCGCTCAGGGTCAACCTAAGTCTGAAACGACTTGAAAGCACACAACGACAACAACAATCCTATCTCATCAACCAAAAGCACGCCCACACTTCCCAATGAAATACAAATAAGTTTATATTTGTTAAAGTTGTTCTTCATTTTAATTACTGAATTGTTCTAAAGTGTTTTTTTGCACTACAAATAAGATATGTGCACTGTGCATAGGAATTTATTCTTTTTTTCAAATTATAATCTGGCCCTCCAACAGTTTGAGGAACTATGACTTGGCCCTCTGTTTAAAAGTTTGTGGACCCCTGCTTTAAGCCATTGTTGGTGATGTAGCGTTAGAGACAACCTTACAGCATGCCACCTTTACAAACAACTGTGCAGCTCCTAAAGTCCCCTGGAATACCCCAAATTCGGGTGCAATCTGGGGGCATTTTTTAAAATTAAAAACCAGATCTAAAACTGGTGCCTTTCTGCATCTTCCCTGCATCTTCTCTCTACAAAAGCATTCCCACATTTGACCAAAATGAGTACCAGAAGTGACATCAAAACTTTGGCTGTAATGCAGCTAACTATCAAGATAGTTATAGGATGAAATGGACAGGTGGAACCTATGGGAGGTCAGGAGGTGTAAACAGACTTTTGCCACCGTCCACACAGTTGCCCACCCCTTCAAACCTTGTGAGTCTGTGATTGAGCCAACATTTGAATTAGGTATTTTCACTTTTTGAGTGGCTTGTTGGCTGAGAAGAATGGAAATCCTTTACAAATATCCACCGTTACTTAGAGGTAAGGTTCCCTCAATCAATCCACAAGGTACTAATGTTACAGACTCCCTCTCTCTCTCAGCACCTTGCAATTCATCCTATGACCCCTTCCCCCTTCCTCCCCTCTCCTGTTTTCCTTCTGCCTCCTCTTCACCTTCAGCAATTTCTTCCAGGGCAGCCTGCACGCCCCTCTCGAAGGCCACAGCATCTGCGGGGCTTTGGAACGTAAGGCCAAACTTGTTGTCCCCCACTTTCCAATGGTGGAAAATGGGGTTCACCTTGTTGTAGACAAGGTCCCTCTTCAGTGTGCACTCCAAGATCGTCTGCAGAGAGAGAGAGAGAGAGAGAAAAGCGTGTCATGGGGAGAGTTGCTAAAGGGTATGCAAACATCTATGCATCCGCTCACTGATCTCCTACTGGCCCAAATGTTGGGAGCAGCTGACTTTACACTCACTTACACACTCTCTCACGCACTTACACAAATGTAATGTCACCTCTGCTCCACCACTACCAAATATAAGTCCAAATAGTGACATCTCAAGACCAGAGCTAAACAAATAACATTTCGAAAGTAATTATTTTCTGTTACAGAATGAATTATTTGTTAACTCTGCCGTTAACAAATAATTCCATTCATCAGTGGAACTCTTTGCCCCGGAGTGTGGTGGAGGCTCCTTCTTTGGAAGCTTTTAAACAGAGGCTGGATGGCCATCTGTCTGGGGTGATTTGAATGCAATATTCCCGCTTCTTGGCAGAATGGGGTTGGACTGGATGGCCCATGAGGTCTCTTCCAACTCTTTGATTCTATGATTCTATGACTTTCTGTTACAGAACGAATTATTTGTTAACTCTGCTTACCATTGCTTTTCCTATGAAACATATCTGAAAGCCACCCATGGCACTGCAAAATGAGTGAAGGTCAGGTACAAGTTGAGCATCCTGAATTCTGAAATAGTCCCAAATCTGAAATTGTACACACAGGCAGCAGCAGTAGTGACTCCTTTGCTTTCAGGTGGTTTAATGCATTATGGTTCAATGCACAAACTGATGTAAAATATTGTGTATAAAATTGCCTTAAGGCTATGTTTATAAGACGCATATGAAACATAAATGAATTTTGCGTTTGGACTTAGAACCCATCTCCAAGATATCTCCCTGTGCACATGTATGAAAATATAGGTATTAAAAAATCCAAAAACAGAAATGCCTTTGGTCCCAAGCAGTTCAGATAAGGGATAATCAACCTATACAATCATCATCAAACTTAGTTATGCCTAGCTCAGTGGTGACTTGTAGGTTTTAGACTGAAACTGACGGTGTTGAATTTTAACCGGGTTCAACCTAAAACCACTGGCTTTCAGTTTAATCCCTGGAGTGAATTCACCACCTTAGTGACAGGAAAGCCACTAGCTGCCCCTACTTTAGCTCTTGCAAGAATGAATGAGTGAGTGAGTGAATTTCAGCCAGACTGGTTACAGTGGGCTTAAATTCCAAGACATCTGAAATTTGTGGATGTTCCAACCCCATTATATACAGTGGGATAGTAAAATGGCATGTCATATATAAAATAGCAAAATCAAGGTTTGCTTTTGAGGGGTGGGGGGTATTTCCAGACTGTAGATCACAGCTTTCCAAACTGCGTCATGACATGTTAGTGTGTTGGCTGCAGTGTGTAGTTGTGTGACATGAACTTAAGGAGAAACCTCTTAGTCTATGTGAAATAAAAAGTAAATCATAGATTTTTTAAAAATATAAATGAAAGGTTTTCATGAGATGTGATGTGCCCCATAGATTTTGTTAATACTAATGTATGTATGTTTCCATATCTCTTATAAAACAGTGGATGTGGCTCTTAATGAGACATGCTGCATTATCACGGGGTGTCTGCGCCCTACACCACTGGAGAAATTACAGTGCTTAGCCGGTATTGCACCACCTGACATCCGCCGGGAAGTTGCAGCCAATAGTGAAAGGACCAAGGCAGAGACATCTCCAGCTCATCCCTTGTTTGGGTATCAGCCAGCACGTCAATGACTTAAATCAAGAAATAGTTTTCTTAGATCTACAGAGACACTCGCTGGAACACCTCAGCAAGCGAGAGTTCAAAAGTGGCAGCCTCAAACCCAGAACCTCAATCCGTGGGTAATACCAGATGAGAGACTCCTCCCTAGGCACACAGAAGACTGGGCGACTTGGAAGGCACTGAACAGACTGCGCTCTGGCACCACGAGATGCAGAGCCAACCTTCAGAAATGGGGCTAAAAGTGGAATCCTCGACATGCGAGTGTGGAGAAGAGCAAACCACTGACCACCTGCTGCAATGCAACCTGAGCCCTGCCACATGCACATGGAGGACCTTCTTGTGGCAACACCAGAGGCACTCCAAGTGGCCAGATACTGGTCAAAGGACATTTAATCAGCTACCAAGTTTGCAAAATTTGTGTTTTTTTTAATCTGTTTGTTTGTTCTGTTCTGTTAGAAATGTAATACAATGTTCTGGTTGCGGATGACACGATAAATAAATAAATAAGGGGTTGGTTGATCTTCTGGTTTTCTAGTAAAACTGAATTACTGTGCTGCAAAAGGATGCATGTTTCAAATGGAATGAAATATTTGCAAAGGTCTGCTGTAGATGGTTGGATACATGGTCACAGAATCTTTGGATGTGTGTGGCTAACTGTCAGTTATATTCTTAAGCATTGCTTCACATCCATGCAAGTCAGAGGTCCTCTTTGACCCTGCTTCCTCTTACTTCTGCTACGGAAGATATTTTTGGAAGCAGAGTAGTTTTGATAATATTCAAGTGTTGTTCCTCCAGATCTTACCGTCTGGTCCCGTAGGCGTTCCCCACTGATCAGGTACTGCCGGTGCCGGCCTTCCTCGGGGTGTCGGACTTTGCAGAGCATCACGTGGCTCAGGCCGCCACCTCCCATGGGCACCCAACCCCCACTCGAGTCGTCTCGGGTCATCACCACAGCCCGCACCCGAACCATGTAACTGGAGGGAAACACAGAGCAGAGGAACCGTCGGATAAGACATCTTATCAATAGACCTACTATCAATTGGAGGAAAACATCTCTCCCCTCAAACATACCACTCATCAATCACTAGTACATCCTCTCTGCCATTTCCCAGATTTAAACCGGATTCATTTTTGAGCTGGCAACATCAGAATGCGGTCAAGATTATAAAAATTATTTTAAAAGAGCAACACACAAGCTAGGAGAGGCTGCAGCAGTTTAATTTTGCTTGAGCCTACGGGAAAAGGCAATCCCACTCCCTCCTCTCCTCTACTGGTTTTAATGAGTGCAATCTACTTTTGAATACGAACATCAGAGTGTGGTCAAGACAGGCAAAAATATACAAAATGGAAGACACACAAGGTAGAAAAGACTGCAGCACTTTGCTTTTGCTTGAGCCTGCTGGAAAGGACACTTTTTCATCCAACCCTCTCCTGAACTCATTCGGAGCAATTAAAGAAAGCTGAGGACCAAGGAGCAAAATGGAAGAAGGGAGGAGAGAAACCAGAACATTTTAAAAGGTGAAACATTGGGATGATAGAGGATTAATCAGGATTGACTCTACCAAATCAAGGCAGTTGGCGAATACAATAGTTAAGGGATTAAGGGAGCTGTATCCCTGGAAGAGTTCTCAAAAGTATTACCCCTTTTTGTACACATATGTGGGTTATTTTAAGAGCGGTGTCCACAGAAATAAAACGTGTGCGTGCATCCATAAATCAATTAGAAAATGCAGTAGCAGCACACACAAAAAATCTCCAGGTGTGAATTCATTTTTAGCCCTGCAATTTGGGTGAGCCAGAGCTCAATCCTTCTTGGTCAGTTAAGGCACAAAATTCTGATAATATCATAAACTTTAGGAAATTTAAGTAGCAACTGGAGAAGAAATGGAAATAAGCAGCACCTTTGACCGTCAATACCAGGCCTCAAGCTAGTCAATGAGCAGAAAATAACTGTACCCATTACCACCAATGAATACGAATGAACACTAGGTTCTGTAAACTATATTTCTGAGAAAGGAACTGACAAAAAATATATATAATAACAACAACCCTCTGAGTATTCTTTGCATAAGAAAACCCTATAAGAGTCATGGGGTTGCTATAAGTCGACAGGTAACTTGAAAACATATATTGAATATTGTTATGGCATTTTCTTAAGCTATTCACATAGGGAGTATGAAAAATATGGTTAGCAATATTATCTCATGAGCAGTAATGTGGACATTTGTTTTGTTCCAATTGGAGAAATAATCTGACAGAGACATTTCACACCATCCTCAAAAACAGAAGTTATAAATGCCAATAAATGAATCTGAGACAATCTACATCTAAAGCCATTGCTCCATCAGTCAAATGGGTACCTAGAGCCAAAATGCAGCGGACTTTACGCAACTACTTCCACTTTCCCTTGTCTATTATCCCCAACCACAGTAAAGCCTTGCCTCCGAAGGGTTATGCAAACTCCTGGTCTAGCTGATTTTGATAGCAAGCAGGTGATTTTCAGAATCTCGCTTGCAACGTTAATCATTAAACTGCTGGGACAGAGGAGGGGGTTATGTGAAGAAAAGGGAGGCAGAAGATGCTAGTTTTGATATCCTAGAAAGAGCAAACAGGAGACTACAAATGTGGTCTTCAAGACCCTGCTAAAGACATCCATCAATACGACAGTAAGCCATGGCTACGCCATACACATCCTTCAACGTTTCACAGGTGAAATCTTGGACACATGTGGCCTCGCATGTGTCGGAGATTGTGGTCAAAGAAGTACTGGTAAATGTTTCAAATACGGATGAACACACATGTGAGAAGAGGCTGCAGCTTTTGCTGCATCTTACTGTGAAAAGCAAGATTTTGCCTCTTCCTCTTCTCTCTTCTGAGTTAACCAAAACTGTTTCTGACTATTGAACTCTATTTGCAACAATAAAAGGAAACTGAGGATGGAGGGAGGAAAGGAGAAAAACTGAGACATTTTAAAAGCAGTTGAAGAAGTGGAACAACAGGGGATGAAGCTGGACTGTTACATTGAGACAGTCAGAGGGTATGCAAGTAGCACATGAGTAGCAACATAAAGAAATACAGAGGAAGCGGTTCAACTAGGTTTGGACTAAAGGGCAAAGTCCAAAGCCTTGCCACGAACCATTTCATAGAATGGCAGAGGATGGAGCATCGGCACCCGGATTATCAGAAGCAAACCAGAGGCCGATCTAGACAGCTTTACAAAAATCTAGACAGCTTAAAAAAATCTTTCCATGTTTTGTTTTTAAATCTAATAGTTTAAAACTGGAAGAGCACACAGATTCACAGATCCTCACGGCAACTTTTCCATTCTGAAAATGCACTCGTCTCCTGCAACAAAACGGTGCTTGTTTTCCACTCCAGATCATCCGGGCAACAATAGCAAACTCCATTTTGTTCCTCGTAGACATAGAAGTGTTCTGACACAAATACTGTAATGAGTTTCAAAGCTGATGCTATATGTCCCAGGATTATTTCTTCCTTTTCTTAACTGAGCATAGACAAACAGATTTGTTCATTTGCCTGGACATAGCATGAACGTAGATCCCGATATAAAGCATAGAGAGAAGGTAAGTCTTAGCTGCATATGCTTTACAACTGAAGTGATACACACGACTGTCTAAAACCGCATCAAGCTTTATGAAAGTACAGGGGCTCCTAGGCATCTGCTGGGATTTGGTTCCAGGACACTTCTGGATACCAAAATCTGTGCATGCTCAACACCCGTTACATACAGTGGCACAGTAAAATGGCCTCCCTTACATAAAATGGCGAACAACTCAATTGAGTGCCGGAGAGAGCCTGAGGATCTGTGAAATGGCGGAAGGCTACAGCAAGCTATGCCTACACATCAGCGTCATGCTCAGCACACAGCAAAATCCAGGTTTGCTTTTTGGATCTTTAAAAAAGAAATCGGGCCATGTTTTGTTGACGCTGTGGATACAAAACCCATGCGTGCAGAGGGCCGAAAGTATGTGGACCACAGTCGAATTCTCCTAGTTCAGATCATGGAAATGTGACGTTTTTTGGATTGTCACTCCCCTAGCATTCCCCAGGAAACGCAAAAGGCAACATTTTCCAATTCTGGTATAGCTGCCCCAATGTAACAACACTGATAAGAGTTTATCGAATAAAGGATTGAGGCTCAATGTTGTACAATTTCGTCCAAATCTTGCATTCCCTCCACCATTAGACAGAAAAAAATTGGGGCACATGTGACCAAGTTACATCAGGGTAAAAAGGTAAAGGTTGTCCCCTGACATTAAGTCCAGTCATGTCTGACTCGGGTGTGGTGCTCATCTCTATTTCTAAGCCGAAGAGCCGGCGTTGTCCATAGACACCTCCAAGGTCATGTGGCCGGCATGACTGCATGGAGCGCCGTTACCTTCCCACCTATTGATCTACTCACATTTGCATGTTTTCGAACTGCTAGATTGGCAGAAGCTAGGGCTGACAGCGGAAGCTCATGCCGCTCCCCGGAATCGAACCTGCAACTATTCAGTCAACAAGCTCAGCAGCCAGGGGCGGCTCAACCCATTACGCAAAGTAAGCCTTTGCAGTATAGTTGATTTTGCCCAGGGACACTCTTGAGACGCTCTTGGGGGAAAACAGACCTTGACATATGCGAGTTGTAGTTACTGGGATGTATAGTTCGCCTACAACCAAAGAGCATTCTGAACTCCACCAAGGATGGAATTGAACCAAATATGGCACACAGAACTCCCACGACGAACAGAAAATATACATCAGTGATTGGTTGGGGTGGGGGGCAAAATACTGTTTGGTTATTGTTGAAATTTACCTAGGGCCGCCTCTGTCAGCAGCTCAGCACTTTAACACACTGCGCCATCAGTCAAGGGTTATTAAGGAGGAAAAGTGCGCAAGAATCTTGCTGTTGCCTGAATTTACTGGGAACAGCAAAATTTAACCCGTTCTTCTCCTTCCCCTTTTACTCAGAGACCTTCTACACAGCTATATAACCAAGAGTATCAAGGCAGATAATCCACAATATCTTATCTGAACTGGGTTATCTGAGTCCACACTGCCATGTAATCCAGTTCAATGTGGATTTTATAGAGGTGTGTGGAAGGGGCCTGAGTGTCCAGACCATTTTTACACTTTGAATTCGGCCTGCAGCAACTGAAGTGAGCGGAAGACAAAGGGGGAGGAAGGGAGGGAGAGACCAGGACATTTTCAAATTGGCAAAGAAAGTGGGAAGGCAGAGGATTAAGCAGTAGTTTTCTGGCCTAACTGAGAGAGACAGAGGGGTAAAGATATCAAAGTCCTAGATTTTAAAGTAGCATGTAAGAAGATCCCTGTAGCCTAGCCTATGTATGAACGTATAGCAGGGATGGGCAGAGTGTGGGTTGCATGCATAGATCTCAATTCTGTGGTCCCATATACTCCTAACACAGGCGTGGACAAACTTCATCCCTCCAGGTGTTTTGGACTTCAACTCCCACAATTCCTAACAGCCTACCGGCTGTTAGGAATTGTGGGAGTTGAAGTTCAAAACACCTGGATGGCCGAAGTTTGCCCATGCCTCCTCTAACAGATTTTCCCAAGCCCTCTTCATTATAAAACAAAAACCAGTGCAGCTTTTAGGCAATTTTCCTCTTGAAAAAAACACATTGAAAATGCATAAAACCATGCAAGGCATTTCACCAACACAGACTTCTCATACTCCCTAACACCTCTATTTTCCTATGCTATCCCTTCTCAAAATGATTACCGCAAGTGACTCAGAATCTGCCATTTTGAAGACTACCGAGGAAAATGGAAGTATTTTATATCTTGCATACCCTCCAAACTTTCACAGATGAAAATGTCAGAATGGGATCAAGATGCAGCAGTTATTAAATGAAGAGAGAGCCATGCTCCTCCAAATTAGCAACTTTTTCACACCATACAATCACTGCACTTTAACAGCCTATGACTCCATCCTGTGGAATCCTGGGAT